ATGGTCTCGCCGAGCCGCCACGAGGTGCCTACGAGATTCACAAATGTCGTAATTTGATGTGGACAGCCTCAGTCGAAGGCTCCGAACACACCAATAGGGAAACACGCATCGAAGATGCACCTCCTCTCATTTACACTCCAAACACAATGTGTGAGGCCATCACGGAGTAAGAGTGGGCCATGACAACATAACTAGCACGTGATAAAGGAAGGAAACGAGAGTATGGAGGAAATTTTACAAGGACAAACCCCGACCCATCGAAAGACAAATAACGTGCCCGATTGGGGTATTGATAGGAAGCTCCGGCGTGGGCGAGAGTATTACAGGCATGTAATTTGCGGACTCGATCTTTGCCCTCATGGTACAGGAAAGGAGGCGGGTCGCGTTTGGGATATCAAAGCTTATTGTATATGCATTCCATAATAAAGAATGGGATTGCAAAATCCATATTCCATGCACAAAAACCTATTGTCGAGAAAAAGGTTTGACTGCATCAGACATAATGCATCCGTTATGAAGACTCGATCAAGAGACAGGCAATGAGGGACCAATAGGGGACAAGCACGAAAATCCTCATACAACACTTAATTCCTCACCTCGACGAAGTTGTACTTGTTAAACTATCGAATAGAAGTCGTATCTTTCATAAAACTACAAGAATATAACCACAGAAAGATATGCAAGACCCAGGCACACTGTCCAGATCAGAAGAACGAAAGTTGAGCAAAATCCTAAACACGCATGAAGAAGTATTCACAATATTGTTTTTCACTAAGAGAAAGTCGTCAAAAGAAGTCAGGTGCGGGGAATAGAAATAATCATACAGTTGCGCAAGCCATGCATCTTCATATTGGGAAACGCAAAATCATAAGAATGAGGAGGAAGAAGCAAGATTGAAGCAAACTAAATAAGAAAACGATGAAGAGACAATACAAAGAGAACAAACTAAATTTAGACCCATAAAATTTTCAAATTACCACTCAATGTTTTTTCTCTTTTCGCAAAACCCACTTCCAAAATCAGTGCTACCAGTCCATCGCCTCAGACTCACCCACTATCCAGAGTTGTCACCCCGCTTAGCCCGATCACGCAAACCAGATTCCCCCATACCCCGTATGATCACCACCAACTCGTTCGATCACCCAACTCCACTACTCACCTCAACAATACGAGCGACATGCTGACCAATCCTCTTAATTGCGCTAACTTTGAAAATTTAGATTATATGAAGATGAAGTTGCAGTTCTTATATTTGTAGGGGAAAATGCATATGTGAGACAATCAAAATTATATAAGAGGTAAGGAGGGAGTGCTTTCGAGCTACATACCTAGACCACAACATGGGGGACTTAGCTACGCTCCTAGCATCGATCCCGGTCGCATCATTCCGACCAATGAGGAGAACGAGTAAAGCAGGAAAATGCATGATCACAAAAACGAGCAAAGGGAGAAGGGAAGGTAGTTACAATCGATGATCAAGAACGACAGAAGTTTAGGGCAACAGTGGATAATAAAATTAAGGTGCAAGAACAGAGGGCGTGAAAGATTGCGCGCGCTAGCAGGAAGCAGAAGTAGCAAAAAGCAGCGAGTCCTAAATCCTATGCTAATTCAAATCTTAATTTCAGACAGAAATCCCATTCATGCACGTGAGCTAATATGCGGCTTACAAAGAATCAAAATATAAATGTCGTTTCGCATGGTTATTACACAAAAATTTCCCACCATACCATCAGGGCGAAAGGAAAAAACAAGACACATCATTTTTCATTCGCGCTCGATAAAACGCGTCCTAACTGTCGAAACGACACCAATTGCAAGTTGTGAAAATATCCTTCCTACGCTAAATTGCAAACAAAATTTTGAAAGATAGAGGGTCAGAAAGCAAACAGCATCGTAAGAATGAATAGTCCGTTTTGGCCCAACCTCACTTTGCACTTAAATACATGTACATGCAGAAGATAAATCGTCACACAACTGCAAAGATGAAACCAAAGAGAATTCATAAAGATGCCAAAAAACTTCCAAGATATGTACCCCACCAAGGTAGAATCCGTGTTGCCATACCAAGTCACTAAAAAACAACAAAAAATATGCAACTACCTAAAGCTAACAACATCAATGAAATTCGAAGACTTAAACCACCAGTACCTTTGCTGCTTGGAAAATAGCGAGTCTCGGGTAGGCATCCGACCTTTGCAGCGGCCGAAACGAAACGATGGCCGCGGATCAGATTTATCAACGGCAGTCATCGTTGGCTCCGACCTCCGAAAATTCAGGCGCCTGGGAAAATTGTCAGTTTTCCCTATTTTTCCACGCGGGAAAGGTACTGGTGGTTAAAAAAATAAAAAAATAATAAAATAAAAAAATAATAAAATAAAAAAATAATAAAATAAAAAAATAATAAAATAAAAAAATTCTCAAATAAACTGGGGGAACTAATCATATGGAAAAAAATGCTTAATGTGAGACAAATCCTATATAGATGAAACTCTTATTGGACATAGTGGGCGCCATTTGACAATTTATCCCAGGGCAATAATTTTATGGGGTATTTCCTTCTGCTTTTGATCAGGCTATAGGTTCTCATGGGTCAGATATTGAGAAAGCCTAAAAAATGTTCCGTCAATAACGTTTTGGTGGCTTAGGGTTACGACCAATGTAATGAGCAAGAATATGAAATATGATTTGATTATATATTAACCCTAAACATCCATGGTTTTAGGTTATGACGAGTGTTATGTGTTGAGCAAAAATGTGAAAAATCAGCATCCACTCATGCTCTTTGTCTTTCTTGCACACATTATTCATACGGCTCCTAGCTAAGTTCTTACAGGTGACTGTAGTGAATATGGTGAAAGCATGTTACCTGTTTGTCGATCTGCACGTTCCCTTGGTACCATGTACTTTCTATCTGTCTGGTACCTTCTATCATAGTTATTCCGGTCAGGTGTAACCTTCCATCGATTCTGGTGATTCTGTTGGTCTGCGAAATTCACTGTTTGATAGGCAACACATTATTGGGTTTTATCATCGGTGTCTAGGAAAAACGACTGCAAAAAATAACGACCAAGGGCCGTTTTTGGAAACGACAAAAACCACGCAGAACGTTGTAGAGGCGCTTACCAAATATAAAAATTGAATCAGATCTTCTCCGGGGACAGACCAACAATTTTTTTTGGTTTATGTGGGTCTCAATTTACCGCAAAACATTCTACATGTACCTGTCGCGATTGCATATGCGATATGTTAAGAGAACTTCAAACTGATCCTGGATTTGGAGTGGATTGCTATAAGTGTACAGTTGAGCAAGGGCATGCGACAAGTGTGCAGTTGAGTGAGGGCCTATGCCTCTGTCGATCTTTGTTGTTTTTGAGACAGGGAAAGTTGCATCTGTACCTCGCTCCAAAGATCAGGATATCGACTATACCCAGTCCCAACGCCAACTTGCCCGGAAAACGGCCAGTGGAAATTATTTGGGTGCCCAAACCGAGGTACTGCAAAATTGCGGTTATAACCAGCTACCAAATGCACAAGTATGGACATGCCCAGGCAAAATTATGGGCATACCCGGGATTGAGGTGGACATACCAAATTATTCATACACCGTACCACCGGATGGTTGAAATTATGCTCATAAACAAATTTAAAAAAAATAAAATTTGGGGTAATTTGCAAAATACCCCCATAAGTTGAGATATGTGCCAAAATGCCCTTGAAAAATGTGGGTAGAGCGGAATGCCCCTCTTGCAAAAAGAAAAAATTATGAAATACCCCTCGGGTCAGTTGCACCCCCCATCTTTGTGATATAGCCCTACCAGATACCATCCAACTTTGCAAAATACCTAGAACTTGTGCCCAAACAGCGAGGTCCAGATTGCAAATTTGCACACCTGCCTGACAAGGGCATAACACAAAGATTTCGGCCCAAAATGGCATTCCCCTCTACCCACATCTTTCAGGGGCATTTGCGCATTTATCTAAACTTATGGGGGTATTTCACAAAATTATCCCAAAAAAATTATGCTCATAAAAAAAAATAAACATAAAAAAAATAAAAATTATGCTCATATCCAGCAGTCTTTGGGCCACAACAGTCCACTTGGTGAGCCTGAGCATAATTTCACGGTCCGCCATCGAAGGCCTGCCAGTGGGTGAGGGTACACCCACATTTTTGCCAGTCGGCTTCTGGGCATAAGCATAATTTCGTAGTCCAAAACCGACGGCCTTTGGGACTGGGTACGCCTATAATTTCTTACAGGGGACAAGTTGGTACCATTTCCTAGTTGATCAGGGTCCGGTCGGGTATAGATGCAAGTTCCGGCTGGGACCGGCTGGGACTGGTTAAAACGGGTATTCCAATTTACCCTTTTAAAACGGGTGCACCAAACTGGGTGTCAGACACTGCTGATGCCTCGTTCTCTCTCTCTCTCTCATGAATCTTCCTCTTTATCAAGGAAGATTCATTCTCGATGGAAACGTCTGATTTCATTTTTATTTTTTTTTATTTCTTTTTCCCTGTTGTGTACTACACGTTGTCCGAGGCTCGGCAATAAAGTCGAGGCTCGGGAATGACCGGCCTACCGGTAGCCTGAGCCACGGTCCTTGGGGGCACAGATCCAATTTACCCTTTCAAAAAACCAGGCCCCTTGGGACGGCCGGCAAGCTTACAGCGCGCCAGGACGGGGTATTGCGGGTGGAGGGGGGGCCTCGCTCCCCTACTCACCAAATGTGCAAAATGAGACCGAATCTTCCGCTAGAACATGGGAAGATACAATACACCACCATATTGTTTTTGTCCATTGCGCACGTTGGGAGTAGAGGAGCGAGGCCCGAGGGCAGAACACAGACTCCCAAAAAAAAAAAAAAAAAAAGAGGGCAGAACACAGACCGGGCTACCAGTCGGGTGTGAACACACAGCGCGAGACAGCAGACACAGAGAGAGAGAGAGAGAGTATTTGGTGATCGAAGTGCTCAATCATCCCTCTTTCCGGCCGGGGTGTAGTCCACCGACAGTTAACGCTATTACCGCTGGACGGACGCCATAGCTGGTAGTAGGGTTTACAGGTGCAGCAGGCAGGCAGGCAGGCATCATGTCGGGCATAGCTGTTGGCCTGAACAAGGGCTATGTCGTCACGAAGAGAGAGAAGGTTGCGAGGCCGAGCGACCGTAAGGGTAGGCTCGGCAAGCGGACGAAGTTCGTCCGCGCGCTTATCCGGGAGGTGGCTGGATTCGCTCCCTACGAGAAGAGGATCACTGAGTTGCTGAAGGTTGGGAAAGACAAGAGAGCACTGAAGGTGGCTAAGAGGAAGCTGGGGACTCATCTGCGCGCCAAGCGAAAGCGTGAGGAGATGGCTTCTGTCCTGCGCAAGATGAGGGCCGGACATGGACATGGACACGGGCACGATACGCACAAGAAGAAGTGAGAGCCGATAAGTGCAAGTCGCAGTGATGGAGATTGCTGGATGGTAGAAGTTTCACTCCTTGAGGGGGGGGGAGAGAGGAAGAAATGGAGTTCGTCGTTGGTCTCGTCCGCCCGCGAGCGAAAGAAGTCATATGACTCTTTCCGTCGTACGTAGATTAGCAAAAGCTGCAACGGGCGAGATGAGTGTGCATTGCAATTTGTGGCTAAGTGTTTTTTAGGCGGCGGGACTTGCATGCAGTCACGGCGTGATCTTCGATGCATCTGACTGTAATCACGTCCAGAGCTCAGTTGAATGTGGGGAATATCCACTGAGAAGGGGTGAATGTGGTGGCATGATGAATGTAGTCACTTTTTGCGGCTTTGGTTAAGAAGGTGCTAGGTGATCGGATGGTATCGGGACAGGATGGGATGATAGCAGGACAGGGTCGATGGGATCGAGTCAGGCAAGATCTGATTGGGAGAGGAGGTGGTCGCATGTCATAGCAGGGAGCAGGGATCGCGGCTGGGGGGGGGGCGGCGAAACGAGAGGCATCAGACTGCTTTGCTTCTTGCTCGTGTGTGTTTGGAGGCTCTTCGTAGCAAACCAAGGTTCATTTTTGCTTCCTGGAGTTCGTCTTTATAAGCGTTTTGCTTCTTCTTCGTTGTTGTCCTGTTCTTTGGCAGTCTGCCTTTTGCGTAAACGAAACCGGAATCATGTTGTTGCCCATATTCTTTGAGGGAATGACCGACAAATTGTGTGAATGATCGACAGATTTTGTGAGTGATCGACAAATTTTGTGAATGATCGACAAATTTTTGCCGTAGTATTTGCTTCCTTCTCGTCTTTCTTTGAACCTTCTGGTTAATAACTAGACAACAAGTGCGCAAGGCGGTGAAGAAAGGATGAAGAAAGGATGAGGAAAGGATGAAGAAGGGAGGAGCAAGCGTGAGAGAGGACGTGGGGAGACGAGAGAAGAGGAGGGAGGACGACCAGGACGAGAACAAGTTGAAAAAAGAATGCCGTGTCGGTGTGCCACGTGGCATGCACTAGGAGAAAGGAGGAGGAGCGAGGGAGGACGACGAAGCAGGAGAACGTACGAGGAAGGAGGGAGGAAAAAGCTGGAGAAGAGGGTTACGAGGGAGGAGGAAGCAGGAGGGAGGAGGGGGGGAGGAGGAGCGGGGAGGAACAAGGTGAACGAAAACATTGCGTGCCGGTGTGTGGCGGGTGGTACTCGACGAGAGGGAGAAGGAAGGAGGGAGGAGGAAGGATGAAGGAGGGAGGAGGAAGGAGGAAAAGTAAGACGAGAGGAAACGAGGGAGGAGGAGAATGGAGAACGACGAAAATGAGAAGATAGAAGAAGAAACATTCAGCTGATGATGTGCCACGTGGCACGCGACGGGAGGAGAAGGGACGTGGGAAGGGGAGGAGTAAGGAGGGAGGGAGGACTAGGGTATGGAAAGGGAGGAGGGGGAATGAGAAGGACGAGAAGAAGAAGAAAATCTGTGCCACGTGGCACGCGACAGTAGGAGAGGAGGGAGGGAAGACCGGGGGAGAAGAGGAAGGACGGGGGGGGAAGAGGAGGGAGGAAGAACGGGAGGAGAAGAGGAGGGAGGAGGATGAAGAGGACGCGCGGTTTTGCACATTGCGCGTGACGGGGGGAGAGAGGAGGAAGGGGGAGCATGTTGGAGGGAGGGGGAGGAAGCTGGAGGGAGGAGGAAGGCGGAGGGAGGTGGACCATTGGAGATGAGGAAGAAGGAAGACGAGGGAGGATGATGACGAGGACGCGAACAAGATGGAAGGGAAATAATCGCGTGGTGCCCTAAGTGGCACGCGACGGGCGGTAGAGGAGGAAGGAGCGAAGAGGAGGGAAAGGGAAGGGGGAGGACGATGAAGAGGACAGTAAGAAAGGAAAACGCGTGCGGGTTTGCCACGTGGCAGGCGGTAGGGAAGGAGAGGATAAAGGAAGTCGGAGAAGACGAGGAGGGTGGAGGAAGGAGAACGGGAAAGACGAGGAGGAAGGAGGGGGAAAGGAGTGGAGGAAAGAGGAGTGAGGAGGATATGACGAGACCGTGAACAAGATGAGAAATCTTGTGCCGCGGTGGCACGTGGCACTTATGAAGAGGAGTGAGGAGGATGAAGGACGGGGGAACGAAGAGAGAAAGGGTAGCCGCAATTTGGTTAATGGGGGCCCCCACTTTTAGGTCCTCGCCAATGGGTTCAAATGGAAATGAGGGTTTGGGGTTCAAAATTTTTGATTTATTAATTGTTGTTATTGCTTGTTTTAGTTCTTAGTTAAGATTGCGGTGTCCCAAATATCTATTGGACTGTTAAGAATTCCTCTGCCGACAATTCTGTAATTTCCGGAAATTTTTGTCTTTGTCAGGCGGGCTTTGGCGGATTCTGCATGTCCAAAACTGAAATTAGGGTTCGAGGGTAAATTTTTTTTTGTCTTATTGAATTTCTTTCTATGCTTGGATTTGTTTTATAGGTCAGTTATCTTTTGTTTATTGAATTTCTTTCGTTGCCTGTTTTCGTCTTAGGTCAAATATTCTGTGTGCCAAAATTTTGGTGTCATTTGGACTAAATTCACTACCTCCGAGCTTGTTTTTGCCGACCCTGATTTTCAGTGCGCGCCGAGTTTTGCCGGGCCCGAGTGTCCCATTGTCCTTTATTTGAATGATCTCCTGTTGAAAACAAAAAAAACTCGCCTTTTCATTCGAACACGAAAAGCGGGGCATTATCTAGACGTCATATCCGCGGAAAAAAACAAAGTAAAGCAGATACACTTATTAACCATTTCCACGAAAAATCTGGTAGATTCATTTTCCCATTTATGTGCGAGTATGCTCTCATTGAGGGCACCACAGCGGCCAATCTTAGGTTCACCAACGAACGAAAAAAAAAGAAAAAAAAAAAGTCGAAACTCGCCTTTGGATGGGATTTCGGGATGATACATTGTCAGTACTTGCAGTGCCAGAATGCCCTCCGGAATGACGCGTCAGGCGGGACGTGGAGTAAGGCCTTCCCCGACAGCCCTCCTGAGTCTCCTCACGTTTTATAGTGTCGTCCTTTTTTTCGTTTTTTTTTTCAAACACCAACGAACAAAAAAAAAAAAAAGAAAGTCGAAACTCGCCTTTGGATGGGATTTCGGGATGATAAATGTCAGTATTTGCAGTGCGAGAATGCCCTCCGGAATGGCGCGTCAGGTGGGACGTGGAGTAAGGCCTTCCTTCCCCGACAGCTCTCCTCAGTCTTCTCACGTTGTAGTGTCGTTTTTTTTTTACAAACAGGCCCGTGGGGCCCAAAACATCCGTTGGCACTTTTGAGATATCTGAAATTTTCTGAAATTTGGATCAGACGAATTTAGGAAAATTTTTCCGCTGGTTATTGTGAAATATCTGAAATTTGGATCAGATGAATTTAAGAGGATTTATCAGCTGGCACTTTTTGAAATGTGTGAAATTTTCTGAAATTTGGATCAGACGAATTTCGCGTGCTCAGAATTGAAATTAGGGTTTGGCGATTAAAAAAATCGTGTTATTGATTGTTTTTTTTTGGCGTTTTTGTTTTATGTCGAGGTTGCCGTGTGCGAAATTTGATCTGTCCTTTGGACAGCTGAAAATTTCTCTGGTGACATTTCTGAAAGTTCCCGAGGAAAATTTTGGAAGTTTGGCTCAGGCGAATGTGGACGATTTTTGCGTGAAAGTGCACCTTCGCCTGGAAGTTTAATACTCGTTTTATTTTAATACTTTTATATTGTTTTAATCTTATTTATTTCTGTTTGGTTGATCGTTCATATGATGTGCATTCTTTTGTATCGGTAGCATTTTGTATCGGTAGCAAGTGTGATTAAAAAACTTAGTTTCGAAAAATTCAGGCCTACGTTAGCCGCCACTGTCCCTCCCTTGCACCCCCAGACTACGGTAAGAATCAGTTTGAGAAATAGCCTAGCCTCGGAGACAACGGTGGTGCTTTCAATCAATGCCAATGTCTAATTTCGATGTAGGCCCCCTGATTTACTACTCGCTCCTCTTTTCCTCCCGTCCTCCCCTGTGCTAACTGTCAGTATGGCGCACTGTAACTCCTCCATTCCTCCTTTCCTCCTCCTTTCCTCCTCCCTTCCTCCTCCCTTCCTTCCTCACCTTCCTCTCTTCTCCGACCGTGTAAGTGGCAACATCGACCTGCAATGTTTTGTCGTTATGTCGAACTCGTCTACGTTATCCTTCTTCCACATCCTCCTCGGACCTGAAACCCTAATTTCAGTTTGCTCCTCTCTTCTCTGGCCACGGGCTACGAGCCAACACCGACCTGCAGTTTTTTGTCGTCATGTCGAACGCTTCCACGTTATCCTGCTGTCTCATTCTCCTTCAACTTCAAACCCTAATTTTTGTTTGCACTCATTCGCCAGGAACTGAAACCGGGGTTCCCTTTAACCAGTTTGTGTGTGTGTGTGAGAGAGAGAGATTATTCCTTCGGTGAGAGAGAGAGAGAGATTTTACGTTCAGAGAGAGAGAGAGAGAGAGAGAGAGAGAGAGAGATTATACGTTCAGAGCGCTGTTATCTAAATTACTATGTTGTTTTTTTCCCCCATTCGTGCGGACGTATGGGCACTGCCTTTTGTTGTGGGTACCTAATGGTTAGTGACAGTGAATGTTCTTCCTTAAGTTTGTGGGCTCCACATTCTGTGTGATTGATGCTTTCAAGTTCTTAGAGATTTGGACAGCCTGGCTGCATTGTAGATCATCGAAGACGGACAATCCAGAACGATTGTATGGTGGGTAATCCGACAGTCGTTCTGGATTATCCAACATAGTTTATCCATAGATTATGCATAAATTATCCATAGAGTAACACCTAAATCGATACGGATAATCCATGGAATAATCGGGCACGATTAGTCGATTCTGAATTGTTATCGACGGTCCGTACATAATCGATTATCAATGTGTTATCCATCGTGTATTATCCCGATATTCTCCATGCATTGTCCATCATGTATTATCCATGTATTATCCATGTATTATCCATGGATAGTCTTTGTACAATCCCTAATATAGATTATCTGATCCGAAAAGAGAACGTAGGACAAATTATGGAGAATCGAACACTGATAAGCCAGAAATTAATTTATTGTCAGTAATCGAAGTTAATCGATAACAATAAGAAATTAAGTTAATCGACGTAGCTCATAATTAGCTGGGGCCGGTTAGTTGGTACCAAGGAGCCTAGCTCAGTTGGTACACCTATGAACTGTTGAAATATGAATCAGACCCGAGTTAGACCCGAGTTCGAATCCAGGTCCAGTCAGATAACAAGAATGAAGTAGTCCTTGAGTTAGCTAGGCCCGGTGTGGTGAAACCTAAAAAGGGAACCCATGTTAAAGTGGGCCCCTCCCTGTGAGTCGTTGCAGTCGCTTTTGCCGTCATTGCCAAGGGAGACTATTTCTGGTTTAGGGTTTACCAGTCCTCTCTTTGGGACTGGACGGTGAACCATACCAGAAACGCAGTTAGATACAGAATTTCATAAAGGAGCGGGGTAAGAGACACCTGTCCAAAAAAAGCAAAAAAAAAAGAAAATAAAAGGTTAGAATAGACATACCAATTAAAAAAAAAAGATATACCAATCCTTCCAGTCAAGCAGCTGGTTGAGCACAACTGGTGGCAGGTGTCATTCGGCGACGGAGGGGGTCTCCGAAGGCCATCCTTTTTAAAATCAACACTATACCCGGGCCTGGCGGCGCTGCACAGCGCGCCCAGCTTTTCCGACAAAAAGTGCGCCGCCACCGGAAGCGCAGCACTGCGCGCCAAGCTTTTTGGCTGGTGACGCTAGCCATTTGAGCAGATGAGGAAACAAAAAAAAAGGGAAATCTCCACCATGCTGGGGCCGCGTACTACCAGCGGCTTGAGCGTTTGTGGACGATCATCAGGTCTAAAAGGGCCTCATCCCACCCTACGTACGGTCAGTCAAATTACTCCTTTTGGGTATCCCGCCTTGTTCAGCAAATGTAGGGTCTCCGTTAACACCGAGGCGATGTACAAACTTGAGCAGACGTGGCCGTTTGGGGGAGGGAATGTTGGGAGCCGTATGTTCCGTGTGACGAAGAAGGTCGGTATCTCCTTTTGCAGTCCAAACTCTGCGGCCCGTCTAACAACACCCCTACTAACGAACACGTATTTCTCTGCTTTTGCTGATGATGCAGCGAGCGTCGGGCCTGTACTAGCAGGCTCTGTCTTTTCTTATGGAAGAGAATATTTTTTAATCTGTTGTATTTTTTCTTCCTCCTCCTCCTTCTGTTTAATCTTCCCTATTGTTGGGATGTTGCGTTTTGCGGACCTACTGAATGGTTCCGTCTTTTAACCATGGATATGGTAGAATGTTTGTTTTGTGAATGAGAATCTTGTTTKCTTCGATTCCGGTTGGCCTTGTCCCGTTATTTGGTCTATCTTAGGGAGGGATGGCGGTGCTTCATGTGGGATAGCTCATCTGGTTATCGTTCTGCAGGCGAGTGTGTTTTGACATCCTGGTTGGTCTTGTCCCGTCGTTTGGCCTGTAGTTGGCGGGGGCGGTGCTTGCATGTGGGACWTGTCATCTAGGATTGTCATTTAGGATTTGTTTTAATTTTGTTTGCTTCGATTTTGTTATTGGGCATCCTGGTTGGTTGATTCCCGTTGTTCGGCCTTTTGAGCGCGGGGCGGTGCTTGTATGTGGGAATCGTCATCTGGGATTGTCTTCTTTTTTTAAGTTGTCACACTGTGATCAAGGGCGCAGGAGCCTTTCTTTATTTTCTTTGTAGATAAGAATGTTTTGATATCCTGGTTGGTCTCGTCCCGTCGTTTGGCCTGTGAGTTGCGGGGCGGTGCTTGCATGTGGGACGTGTCATCTGGGATTTGTTTTGTTGCCCCCTGTTCTGTATTATTTGGCTGTTCCCTTCCTCTTTTCTTTGCCTCTTTGCCTTCTGGCTGTGTGCAAGTGGGTCGATATGACACACGGGGGTGGGGGCAGCCGCCGCTCAACCTACATCCACGTGGGCGGCCTTGTACGCAAGAGGTTCTGAACAGGGGGAGTCTTTTAAGGAAGAAGATAAAAAATTGAATTCAATTTTCCCTGGTTTTCTTTTCTCCTTTTTTCACTTTTTTTCGCATTTGCGCTCTGATATTCTTGTGACAATA